ACGTGTGCTCTTCCGATCTGTGATCTGTCGAAATATGTTATCACTGTAACGAGTCAAATATAAAAAGTGAAATAAACCTAGTTAATCTACTTTAAGTATGGCAATACATTTCAGAAAAAACCAAGATACCAAAAGTTGAGTTTTTAAATGCAATCCGAATGTTGCTCGATTCAACGTTTTTCACTTTTAACAACGTAATATATAAACAAGTTTTTGGTACACCAATGGGTGGACCGAGTTCCCCTAGTATTGCGGATTTGGTAATGCAGGATATAGACGAAGCGGCATTGAAAAAATTGCCGTGTCATCTTCCGTTTTATTATAGATATGTTGATGACATTCTTTTGGCTGCTCCTTCTGAATTCCTTGATACAATTTTGAATATTTTCAATTCCATGCATGAGCGTTTAAAATTCACGATTGAGATTGGGGATGACCACAGACTTAATTTTTTAGATGTAAACATCATTATTGACAATCAGAAATTATTAATATTTGATAGATACAAAAAACCGACATGTTCGGGCAGGTTTTTGAATTTTCACTCTCAACATCTTAAGTGTCATAAAAGTGGAGTGATAACTGGTATGGTTGACAGAATTCTATTGTTATCCCACCCACGGTTCCAGCGTGACAACTTAATTGACATAATACATACATTACTAAATAACGGATATCCTCTCCCTTTTATTTTCTCGACAATTAATACTAGATTAAAACGGTTTGCTGTTAAGGATAACCAAAAGAATGGTTATAATGATAGGACGGATAAAAATAATTGGTTTTTCACAATACCATATGTTAAAACCATCTCTGAATCTTTTAGGCCTATAGTTAAAAAATTCAATTTAAAACCGGCCTTTTCCATTCCAAATACGCTAAATAAATACATAAAAAGGAGAAAAGATTTATTAGATCCTATGTGCCACCAAGACGTGGTATATAAAATTTCTTGTTTGGACTGTAATGCTTCCTACACTGGCCAAACTAAGAGACAATTACGAACGAGAATTAATGAACACCGTTCGGACATAAAGAAAAAATCTGGTCCTCTTTCTGTAATTTCTGATTACCGTATAACGTGCGATCACGAATTTGATTGGAATGGAGTTAGAATTTTGGATAACGAGCCTTCCTATAATAAAAGATTAGTGTCAGAGATGGTCTACATAAAAACACAAAGCAGTGGTT